TAGTTGCCATTGTGACTGATATGATATGATATGATATTTTATTATGGTTTTGGTTTGCACTTCTCTAATGATTACTGATGTTGTGCATTTTTTGTATGTTTGTTGGCTACATGTATGTCTTCTTTTGAAAATTGTCCATTCATGTCCTTTGTCCCCTTTTTAATGGAGTCATTTTTTCCTTGTAAATTTAAGTTCCTTATAGATTCTGGATATAACACCTTTGTCAGATGCATAGTTTACTAATATTTTCTCCCAATCTCTAGGTTGCCTGTTTACTCTGTTGATAGTTTCTTTTGTTATGCAGAAGCTCTTTAGTTTAGATCTCATTTGTTTTTGTCTTTGTTGAAATGGCTTTTGGCATCTTTATCATAAAATCTTTGCCAAGTCCTATGTCCAGAATGGTATTTCCTAGGTTATCTTCCAGAGTTTTTATAGTTTTGGGTTTTCATTTAAGTCTTTAATTCATTTTGAGTTGATTTTTGAATGTGGTGTAAGGTAGGGGTACAATTTCAATTTTCTGCATATGGCTGGCCAGTTATTCCACCCTCAGTTTTTGAATGGGGAGTCCTTTCTTCATTGCTTGTTTTTGTCAGGTATGTTGAAGATCAGATAGTTTTAGGTGTGCAGCCTTATTTCTGGCTTCTCTATTCTGTTCCATTGGCCTAGGTGTCTGTTTTTGCACCAGTACCATGCTGTTTTGGTTACTATAGCCCTTTAGTATAGTTTTAAGTTGGGTAGTGTGATGCCTTTAGCTTTATTCTTTTTGCTTAGGATTGCCTTGGCTATTCTGATTCTTTTTTGGTTCCTTATGCATTTTAGAATAGTTTTTTCTATTTCTGTGAAGAATGACATTGGTAGTTTGATAGGAATAGCTTTGAAACTTTAAATCGCTTTGGGAAGTATGACCATTTTAACAATATTGATTCTCACTGTCCATGAGCATGGAATGTTTTCCCATTTGTTTGTGTCATCTGATTTCTTTGAGTAGTGTTTTAAAGTTCTCATTGTGGAGATCCTTCACTTCCATAGTTAGCTATATGCCTAGATATTTTATTCTTTTTGTGGCAGTTGAGAATGCGATTGCATTCCTGATTTGGCTCTTGGCTTGGATATTGATGTATAGGAGTGCTACTAATTTTGTATATTGATTTTGTACCCTGAAACTTTGCTGACGTTGTTCATCAGCTGAAGGAGATTTTGGGCCAAGGCTATGGAGTTTTCTAGATATAGAATCATGCTGGCAAACAGGGGTAGTTTCACTTCCTCTCTTCCTACCTGGATGCCCTTTATTGCTTTCCCTTGTCTGATTGCTCTTGCCAGGACTTCCAATATTGTGTTGGATAGAAATGGTGAGAGAGGGCATCATTGTCTTGTGCTGATTTTCAAGGGAAATGCTTTCAGCTTTTACCCATTCAATATGATGTTGGCTGTGGTTTTGTCATAGATAGCTTTTATTATTTTGATGTATGTTCCTTCAATGCCTAGTTTATTGAAGGTTTTTAACATGAAGCGATGTTGAATTTTATTGAAAGTCTTTTCTGCCTCTATCGAGATAATAATGTGGTTTTGGTTTTTAGTTCTGTTTATTTGGTGAATCAGATTTGTTGATTTGCTTATGTTGAATCAACTTTGCATCCCAGGGATAAAGCCTATTTGATCATGGTGGTTAGGTTTTTGATGTGCCTCTGGAAGCAGTTTGCTAGTATTTTGTTGAGGAGATTTTTGTATCTATGTTCATCAAGATATTGGCCTGAAGTTTTCTTTATTTGTTATGTCTCTGCCAAGTTTTGGCATCAGGATGACGCTGGCCTCATAGAATGAGTTGGGGAGGAGTCCTCCTCCTCAGTTTTTCTGAATCATTTTAGTAGGAATGGCACCAGCGCTTCTTTATATATCTGGTAGAATTTGGCTGTGAATCTGTCTGGTCCTGGGCTTATTTTGGTTGGTAAGCTTTTTGTTACTAATTCAATTTTGGAAATCATTATTGGTCTGCTCAGGGATTCAGTTTCTTCCTGGATCATTTTTGGGTGGTTGTATGTGTCCAGGAATTTATCCATTTCTAGTTTGATGTACTCATTTCTAGTATAGATTTTCTGGTTTGTGTGCATAGAGGCAATCATAGTAGTTTCTGATGGTTATTTGTATTTCTGTGGTGTCCGTGGTAACATCTGCTTTGTCATCTCTAATTGTGTTTATCAGGATCTGCTCTCTGTTTTTCTTTATTTGTCTAGCTAGTGGTCTATCTTGTTAATTTTTTATAAAACCAATTTCTGGATTTGTTGATCTTTCATATTCTTTTTGTATCTCAGTTTCTTCAGTTCAGTTCTGATTTGGGTACTTCTTACCTTTTGCTTGTTTTGGGGTTGGCTTACTCTTCTCTTCTTCTAGTTGTGAGGTTAGGTTGTTAATTTTAGACCTTTCTAACTTTTTCATATTGGGCATTTAGTGTTATAAACTTCCCTCTTAACACTGCCTTAGTTGTGTCCTAGAGTTTCTGGTATGTTGTATCTTTGTTCTCATTAGTTTCAAAGAACTTCCTAATTTCTGCCTTAATTTCATTGTTTACCCAAATGTCTTCAGGAGGGGGTTGTTTAAATTCCATGTAATTGTATGGTTTTGAGTGATTTTCTTAGTCTTGATATCTATTTTTATTTTGCTGTTGTCTGAGAGTATGGTTGGTATGATTTTGATTTTTTTTAAATTTGCTAAGGATTATTTTATGGCCAGTTAGTTTTTTTGGAGTACGTGCTATGTCGTGATGAGAAGAATGTATATTCTGTTGTTTTTGGTTGGAGCGTTGTGTAGTGTCTGTTTGTCCACTGGTCAAATGTTGAGTTTAGGTGCTGAATATCTTTGTTTATTTTCTGCCTCAATGGTCTGTCTAATACTGTCAGTGGGGTCTTCTGTCTAATAGCAGTGTCCCACTATTATTGTGTGTGGGTCTAAGTCTCTTTGTAGGTCTCTAAGAACTTGCTTACCCTGGGTATCAATTTGCGTGGTCCTATGTTGGGTGTGTATATGTTTAGAATAGTTAAATCTTCCTGTAGAATTGAACCCTTTACCAATATGTACTGCCCATCTTTACCTTGCTTGATCTTTATTCACCTAAAGTTCATTTTGCCTGAAATTAGGTTTGCAACTCCTGCTTTTTCCTGTTTTCCATGTGCATGGTAAATTTTTCTCTTTTTATTTTGAGCCTATGTGGATTGCCTGTGAGATGGATCTCTTGAAGATAGCATACCATTGGGTCTTGCTTCTTTTTCCAGCTTGCCACTCTGTACCTTTAAATTTGGGCATTTAGCCCATTTACATTCTGTGTTAATATTGATGTGTATGAGTTTGATCTCGCTATCATGTTGTTAGCATTTGATTGCCTGAAAAGGATCTTATTTCTTTTCCACGTATGGCATTCAGTTTGGCTGGATATGAAATTCTTGGCTGGAAATTTTTTTCTTTAGGAATGCTGAATATAGGCCTCCCGCCTGCCCCGCCCCTGATCTCTTCTGGCTTGTAGGATTTCTGCTGAAAGGTCCACTTTTAGCCTGATGGGTGGGGTTCTTTTTGTAGGTGACCTGCACATTCTCTCTAGTTACCTTTATCATTTTTTCTTACATGTTGACTTTTGAAAAATCTGATGATTATGTGTCTTGGAGATTATCTTCTTGTGTAATACCTTTCAGGGGCTCTGTGTATTTCTTAGATTTGAATGTTGTCCTCTCTAGCGAGGTTGGGTAAGTTTTCATCAGTGATACAGTGAAATATGTTTTCCAGGTTGCTTGCTTTTCCCCCGCCTCTTTCAGGAATACCAATAAGTCATAGATTTGACCTCTACCTAACCCCAAATTTCTCAGTTTTTTTTTTCATTTTTTATCTTTGTTTTTGTCTGACTGATTTATTTTAGAGAGCCACAGGTGTGGATAGAGTTGCTCGCCCTGCTTTCTGTGTGTTTCCAGGGCAGCAGGAGGCAAATTCAGGCAGAAGTAGGACCACTGAGTTAGAAGCTCTACCAGGCATGGCTCACCTGGCTACCAGAAGTAGGGGTGGGTGGGGATGCCTGGTCTATAGTCTAGATGCTTCCTGGGACAACAGGAAGGTGCACCCTATCGCTGAGTTTACACAGAAGCATGGCCACTGGGCTGGAAGCTCTAGAAGGTGTTGCCAATATGAGTTTCCATGGGAGGGGTGGGTGGAGTCACCTGCTCAGCTCTCTGGGTATTTCCTGGGAAAGCAGGAGGCTGCACCCTCCAGCTGAGTTCACACAAAAGCAGGACTGCTGGGCTGGAAGCTCTAGGAAGCCTCACCTGCCTGGCTACCAGTGGTGGGGGTGGGTGGAGTGGCCAGCTGAGTTCGGCCTAAAATGGCCCTGCTAGTTCGGAAGCTGGCCTTGAGCCCCATCTGGCAAGAAGACATGGATAAATCATACAGCTCCCAGGTACTGCAACTGTAGTTTTTACTGAGGCAGTGACATTGGTACTGGTCTGCCCTTGGGCCCAAGGCTTGTAGAGGTCTCCGTGGACGCAAGAGTTGCCCCCACAAAATGTCCCAGTGGCTCCTACTTCAGTCTAGAAATGTGGTAGAGTTGGTGGGGGCCCAGGGGGTTTCTCCCATTTCCAGTCTTGCTCAGGTCCCTGTGGAGAGCTGAATCCCGCTAGGGGCTCTCACCCTTTCCCATGTTGGAAAATGGTTCACTTACTCAACCTTTCCCATATTGAAAGGTTCTCCTGGCTCTGCACTGAGCCCAGACATGCTGGTGTCCCACCTCACTCATCTCTGCTCTTTGTGTTACCCTGCTGCCTTGATGGATCATAACGTGGTTTCTCAGATGATCGGCCTGCAGGGTCAATGTTTACTAGCCCCTTTTTTTTCTGATCTGTGAGAATGGTGCATATGAGATGCTTCTAGTCTGCCATCTTGTCCAAATATCCTAAAATTTTAAATAATTTTTAACTGTTAATTTTTTCCCTTACTTTCTTGTATAAAATGATCTTGTAGTGGTGCACAGGCGCCTGGCAGTTATTGGTCTCACCATGGAGTGGAAAGTGTTTGCGCTCCAGGCCCGAAAGAAAAGGACCATACCCAAGAAGGACAAAGCCCAAAGGAAATCTGAAACTCAGCACCGAGGCTCTGCTCTCCACTCCAAGAGTGATCTACCAGATCAGGAAGAGGAGATTCTGGGATCTGATGATGATAAGCAAGAAGATCCTAATGATTATTGTAAAGGAAGTTATCATCTTGTGAAAATTGGAGATCTATTCAACGGGAGATACCACGTGATCCAAAAGTTAGGCTGGGGACACTTTTCAATGATATGGTTATCATGGGATATTCACGGGAAGAAATTTGTGGCAATGAAAGTAGTTAAAAGTGCTGAACATTACACTGAAACAGCACTAGATAAAATCCGGTTGCTGAAGTCAGCTCGCAATCCAGATCCTAATAATCCAAATAGAGAAATGGTTGTACAACTACTAGACGACTTTAAAATATCAAGAGTTAATGGAACACATATCTGCATGGTATTTGAAGTTTTGGGGCATCATCTGCTCAAGTGGATCACCAAGTCCAATTATCAGGGGCTTCCACTGCTTTGTGTCAAAAAAATTATTCAGCAAGTTGTTACAGAGTCTTGATTATTTACATACCAAGTGCCGTATCATCCACACTGACATTAAACCAGAGAACATCTTATTGTCAGTGAATGAGCAGTACTTTCGGAGCCTGGCTGCAGAAGCAACCAAATGGCAGCAGTCTGGAGCTCCTCCACCTTCTGGATCTGCAGTCAGTACTGCTCCCCAACCTAAACCAGCTGACAAAATGTCAAAGAAGAAGAAGAAGAAATTGAAGAAGAGGCAGAAGCGCCAGGCAGAATTACTAGAGAAGCGAATGCAGGAAATTGAGGAAATGGAGAGAGTCGGACCTTGGGCAAAAAAGACCAAACAAGCAAGAAGAATCAGAGAGTCCTGTTGAAAGACCCTTGAAAGAGAACCCACCTAATAAAATGACCCAAGAAAAACTTGAAGAGTCAAGTACGTTGGCCAGGATCAAACACTTATGGAACGTGATACAGAGGGTGGTGCAGCAGAAATAAATTGCAATGGAGTGATTGAAGTCATTAATTATACTCAGAACAGTAATAATGAAACATTGAGGCATAAAGAGGATCTACATAATGCTAATGACCGTGATGTCCAAAATTTGAATCAGGAATCTAGTTTCCTAAGCTCCCAAAATGGAGACAGTAGCACATCTCAAGAAACAGACTCCTATAACATCTGAGGTGTCAGACTCCATGGTGTGCCAGTCTTCCTCAACTATAGATTAGTCATTCAGTGAAGAGTACATTAGCCAACTTCAAGAAAGCATTCGGTCAGAGATACCCTGTGAAGATGAACAAGAGCAAGAACATAATGGACCACTGGACAACAAAGGAAAATCCACGGCTGGAAATTTTCTTGTTAATTCCCTTGAGCCAAAAAATGCAGAAAAGTTCAAGGTGAAGATTGCTGATCTTGGAAATGCTTGTTGGGTGCACAAACATTTCACTGAAGATATTCAAACGAGGCAATATCATTCCTTGGAAGTTCTAATAGGATCTGGCTGTAATACCCCTGCTGACATTTGGAGCATGACATGCATGGCCTTTGAACTGGCCACAGATGCCTATTTATTTGAACCTCATTCAGGGGAAGAGTACACTCAAGATGAAGATCACATTGCATTGATCATAGAACTTCTAGTGAAGGTGCCTTGCAAGCTCATTGTGGCAGGAAAATATTCCAAGGAATTTTTCACCAAAAAAGGTGACCTGAAACGTATCATGAAGCTGAAACCTTGGGGCCTTTTTGAGGTTCTAGTGGAGAAGTATGAGTGGTCTCAGGAAGAGGCAGCTGGCTTCACAGATTTGTTACTGCCCATGTTGGAGTTGATCCCTGAAAAGAGAGCCACTGCCACCGAGTGTCTCTGCCACCCTTGGCTTAACTCCTAAGCCCCTGGCCAGCACCACAGCAGAGATCACACACTGACCCTCAGCCCTTCCCCTCCAAGCATTTTCCTCTTCCCTTTTTAGGGTGAAGCTCTTTCTTCAAGAGTTTCTAGATCTTTTTTTTTTTTTTTTTTTTTCGTAATCCAACATGTTCATTTGGGTTTGCTTACTTGACACTGTGGAGATCCCCACAGCCATTGGGCATCCTAGGTGAATTTGGCCTTGGTTGGGCTCTACCAAAGACTAATGGACTAAAATGTGAAACTGCCTCTTGCCCTGTACCTTTCCTTCCCATTAGGACATCCTTTAAATTATAAGCATCCTTTTTGAAAAGAGCTATGAAAGTGTATGAGCCCATCCTTTTATTCATTAAGAGTCAAATTTTCTAGTGTATATTCTATTGCCTGCATGAGGATGAGGAGGGGAAAGGGTGTTAATTCTGTGTACACCAGCAGAGACATTAAACTTGCTGTGTCCAGGCTGCATCATCTTCCTGGACTGTTTCTATTGTTCTGTATGTTCACATTTTTTCCTGCAACTTTTAAGCTACTATCTTTTTTAGTTAACTGTATGAACACCAAATTTGGGTACCATTTTATCACTGTTCAAAGCACTGTCAAATTCCTTTCATCCTTTAATAGTTAAGATCTTTGAATCTTTAGTCTGATTTTTAATGTAAGCAAAAACAGAACCATTGAATAGTAATTTCTTGAGAACCTCAGGTGTTCTATAGACAGTCCTTTCCTATATGTCTTCTATTACCCTAAGACCAGAGTTATTTTGGTTGGCTATTTTGTTTTATATTTTGTTTTTGTATCCGTGGCTGGCACTTTACTCATTGCACTTGAGTTTATTGCCCCATAACTAAAGGATCAGGATGATGGTAGAACAGAGATCTGGGTTTCAGAGCTTTCCCATTTAAGAAAAATAGATCTTGAGATTTTGATTCTTTTCCAGACAGTCCCTGCTTTCATGTACAACTTTTTCTTTACCTTGCCCAAAATTCTGGCCTTGAAGCAGTTTTCCTCTATGGCTTTCCCTTTCTCATTTTCTCAGAGGCTCGAGTCTTTAACTCCAATTGAAAGAACCAAGGGGAGGGGTGGGATGGCACTTTTTTTTTTTTTGGTCTTGTTTTGTTTTGTTTTTTTGGTTGGTTGGTTGTTTCTTAAGATTAGCCATTCTCTGCTGCTATTTCCCTACATAATGTCAGTTTTTAGCCATAATTTTGACATGATTGAGATGTACTTGAGGCTTTTTTTGTTTTAATTGAGAAAAGACTTGGCAATTTTTTTTAGGATGAGCCTCTGCTAGACTTGACCTAGATATTACATATTCCTCCAGTAATATTGAAGAGCAAAAGGGGCAAGATTGGGGTCACAGCTGCTTCTTCAGCATGGACCAAGTGGGCCTTGGGGATTACACATTCTCGAAGTGGCTATAGGACTCAAATTTACAGAAAGCCACAGAGGTGCGACTTGAGGCTCTACTGCTAGCAAGCCACCAGTGAGGCTGTTGGGTAACCACCTTTCTATACAGGATATTGGAATCTACTTTGTCATTTATCCACCAACAGTGACAAAGAAAAAGTGGTGCCATTATGCAATCCATTTAATTCATAAACATATTACTCTGAGTAACTGGCTGGCCATCCATGGGATCCTTCATTGGATACTCCTGAAATCAGACATGTTCCTGTAGAAAGAATTCTAAGTTAGGCTTCCTATGCACCTATCAAGAATCAAGAAAATAGATTGTATCAAACGATGGCAGGAAAATCTTTGAGCAATTCTAATCCACTTTGGGTTTTCAGCTGTTTTTACATCTAAAGCAATAGACTAGAACTGATTTCTCTTCTACATTGTAAAATCACAGTTGTGGAATTACAGAAATTCTGGTGATATTAAGATGAAATAACAAAACACACAAAAGGCCCTATTTTAACAGTTGACACGACAGTAAATTTTGAGAGAGAGAGAAACTGTAACTTCATTTTGGAAATCCTCCTCCACCAAATAAGGGGTTTTCCCCCTATTGTTTAAGGAACCAGATGGATTGAAAGATGTGGAAATAGGCAGCTGTAGAACTTGATCTTCCAAGTACCCCATGTACCTTGATTGAGCTTAATTATAATACTGTCAAATTGCCATGATCTCACTAAAGGATTTCTATTTGCTGTCAGTTAAAAATAAAGCCCTGAATACATTTTTATTCTTTCTACTGAAAAGAAAAAGATCTTGTACTACACAGCAGCTCAAGAATATTTTAAAACGTGATTAGTTCTGCTATAATATTTGTTTGAAATGCAAACTTGTTCTAACTTAATTGAACAATTTGAGCATAGTTTGAATTTCACATGTGCTTAATTAAGCCGTTTCATCTGCAAAAACAATGAGTGAAAGCAGAAGGGCTGGGTGCGGTGTCTCACGCCTGTAATCCCAGCACTTTGGGAGGCCGAGGCGGGTGGATCACCTAAGGTCAGGAGTTCAAGACCAGCCTGATCAATATGGTGAAATCCCGTCTCTACTAAAAATACAAAAATTAGCTGGGTGTGGTGGCAAGCCCCTGTAATCTGAGCTGCTCAGGAGGCCGAGACAGGAGAGTTGTGTGAACCCAGGAGGTGGAGGTTGCAGTGAGCTGAGATTGTGCCACTGCACTCCAGCATGGACAACAGAGTGAGACTCCCATCTCAAAAAAAAAAAAAAGAAAAAAAGAAAAAAAAGAAAAAGAGCAGAAAGAAACTTTCTCCATCTACCTTGGTTCACCTGTATATAGTATGCCACACCAGCCCATATCTGGTGGTATGACATTTTAATTTCAGGTAATTTCCTTCCACTGTGCAATAACTCACAAGTTGCAACCTATTCAATGCGCACTTTCACAAACAAGTTTCAGGTCTTTCTCAAAATAAAAGTCTGTATTTCTCATGGTATTTATGTAGTCTTAATCATTTAACTGTGTACTATAGTACTGTTTTTCTTAGGTTTTATTTTTAAAAATATATCACCTACAAGGTTTTTGCAAGATGTGCACCTAACCCATTTCCCCCATACATTCTACAGGTTTTATTGCGTGTTTTTTCATAGTGAGGTGATTTTCTGGAAGGCATATGCCACATTATAACATATTTGATTGTAATTGTCAGAAAAATTTAAATGTTTTAATATGTATTAGCTTATATACAACTTACACCACATAAAGCACTATTACAAACAGACCAGATGTGTCATTTTGTTTTGCTTCTATGCAGATAATTTTTCTTGAAATGTTGTATAGTGACTCTTAGAGTAAAATGTACATTAGCAATATATATTATCATATTTTTCTATAACTTATTGTGTTTTCAACCCTTTATTTCTGGCTTATATAAAATTATACAGAAAATTAAGTCTAGAAATAATCGAACGAAGAAAGTTGGTAAAACAGTGAAGAAAAAAGACAAAGGAAAACCTGAGGATTCAGAAAAGTAAGACATAAAGATACATGTTAATCTTTTTTCTTATTAATTTATATTTTCTTTTTATAAAAACAATTTAAAGTCAAATAAACATAACTTATGAATAAGCTTTTGAAAACATAAAATTGACAAACATATGTTTTTATAAGCATATCAGTATATGATTATGGGATAAAGCTAAAAAGGGAAGAACAAAGAACCAAAAATGGACTGGAAGAGGAGATTGAACCACAATACATTCAGAAATAGGTGAACAGAATTAAATCTTTAATTTTAGGAAAAAAGGATTTACATTGTTTCTTTGATGGTCTAGCTCATGCTTTGTAATTTGTTAACTCCACAGTCTTGGCTGTTCTTTTCTACTGTACTTATTAATTGTATTATTCTTATAAAAAGTTATTTATTTTTTGTGTATGTGTATTATTATAAAGTAGCATTTTTAAGTAAATATTTTCTTTAGTATTATGAAATAATTATTGCATTTGAATTTGCCTGGTTAAACCCTGATATTAAAATATTTTTTAAAAGGAAACTATGAAGTCAAACTTTATAGAGTTCCACAAATCCTGAAAAGAAATTCATGGGACAAATGGCTTTGACCTTTAACAAAAAAACACCCAAGAAGAAAAAATGACCAATATGCTTTGAATATCTGTCTTTTCACATTTAATCATAGCAGTGAAAAGTTAGCTTGGGAAATGTTATTCAGTTGTTTGTAATTTAGCCTGTATGAATTTTATGTCTCTTAGAAATACGAATTTTTTAAAAAAACTTCATTATTTTAAAATGATTTAAAAAGTTCTCCTCAAGAAAGCAAAGCAGTGATGCATTTAAAAATATCATGATGCATTTTAAAACATTTTATGTTACAGGAAAATGTCCTTGAAAAAAGAGTTTAAAATAAAAGAAGATTTGGATCAAGTACAGGTAACACACCCACTGTCTGTATGCATCAATATTTGATTAATACTTGCTCTGATAGTCATATGTAGAGAAACATTATTATGTATGGGATTATAGGTATATATATCTGTGTGTATGTGTGTGTGTCTCTGTGTGTGTGTGTGAACTAAAATTCTTCCTGAGATAATGTCTTTCTTGTTGATGGACTCTTCTCATCAAGGTTCAGAAAATGAAATGGCAAACCCGGGCATATTTATGTCAATATTATGAAAATTACCATGGTTTAAACAACTACAGAGGAAAGAACATCATATTGGGAGTCAGAACAGCAACTTACTGGTTATATGACTTTGGAGAATTCCCTTTAACCTATTTGAATTTCAAATTTTTCAAAACTTTTGTAACCCAAATGTATAAAACAATAGCTACTCTATTTGTCTGAAAAAGGTATAAACATTTTACTCTACAAGCCAGAAGAGAGTGGGGGCCAATATTCAACATTCTTAAAGAAAAGAATTTTAAACCCAGAGTTTCATATCTAGCCAAATTAAGTTTCATAAGTGAAGGGGAAATAAAATTCTTTACAGACAAGCAAATGCTGAGATATTTTGTCACCACCAGACCTGCCCTACAAGAGCTCCTGAAGGAAGCACTAAACATGGAAAGGAACAACCAGTACCAGCCATTGCAAAAATATGCCAAAATGTAAAGACCATCGATGCTAGGAAGAAACTGCATCAACTAACAAGCAAAATAACCAGCTAACATCATAATGAGAGGATCAAGTCCACACAGCAATATTAACCTTAAATGTAAATAGGCTAAATGGTCCAATTAAAAGATACAGACTGGCAAATTGGATAAAGAGTCAAGACCCATCAGTTTGCTGTATTCAGGAGACCCATCTCACATGCACATAGGCTGAAAATAAAGGGATGGAGGAAGAGCTACCAAGCAAATGGAAAACAAAAAAAAAAGGCAGGGATTGCAATCATAGTCTCTGATAAAACAGACTTTAAACCAACAAAGATCAAAAGAGACAAAGAAGGCCATTACATAATGGTAAAGGGATCAATTCAACAAGAAGAGCT